CCTTAATCCCGGAGTGCCGGCCCTCCTAATCACGCCCATCAACCCGCACTGCCTCAACTGTCGTCCCCTCGTCCTTCCAATGGACGTAACCATCGAGGTCTCCATCAATCCGGACGCTCGCGCCAGCGTCGTCTATCTCTCCAACGACGGGCGTCTGCGTCATCGACACGTGCTTCGTAAGGGCGATCGGGCTCTCATCACCGCCTCACATTATCCCGTGCCCTGTTTCTGTAGCGAAAGCAAAGTGAGTGTCTGTTTTTTAGTGGAGTTTAGTTTTGCAGGTGACAGGAAGGAAGCTCGTTTCTGACGAGACTTTAATATCTGGAGATTGCGCTGCACATTAAGGCACACAAAACCTGCCTACTAATTATCAATGTCAGAAATACGGTCTTTGTTTTTATTTCTTATTAGGTGGCGGATTGGTTCTGTGACCTAGCTAACTGTCTGCACTGGAACGTACGTCACCAGCAGAACGAATTCAATGAGGCGCGTTTCCTACCGGACAGGTTTCATGCATTCTCCACCAATCACTCTAGTTAACAAAAAGGACACCTTCTCTCTCCCTCCCTCTTTTTCACAATGATCCTCCTCCTTTTTTAACAGATCCGTCTTTTTCTCACCGCCTGTCAGCGACTAACCAGGTTCTTTCGATGCCTTTTTTCTTCAAATTTTGTTTTTTTTTGGATAAATTGATATAAAGTCTTTCGTACTCAGAGAAAGTTGCCATTTGTCAGGCAGATGGTGCTGTTTATACGCACAGTAATTGCCGGCAAATCAAGCGGTAAGATTGTAGCGGTCTAGGTAGTGGTTGAACTTGGAGCACTACAATCATCAGGCCGAGTCACCAGTGGGAGGGATTTGTTGTGAACAGAACCCTGAGGCAGCAGTGACCACTGGCGAAGCCAGGGCTAAGTGTTCGAATGCGTCCAGCCAGGCCTAAGTGTCTAGGGATGTCTGTGTGTTAGAGAGAGGTGTGATGAGGACAGCTGCTTCTACATGACAGTAAAGTAAGTTCAAGGGATGTATGGTTGGTTTGTTATATTGCTCGAGGGGGTGCCGCCTGTGGAGGTCCTTGCTGCGTGGCGTTTTCAAGTGGCCCTTTTGGCAGCCGCGATTGTCTGGACGCACGCGTATGATGTAAGTCGAGGGTTTTCAGATCAGCCAGTCGAAAACAACCGCCTACGAAGACACATGATGTTGGAGGCAGCGGACATTGAACGAGGAGGGAGACAGCATTGTTGGCCGTCCGCCACAAGGTGAAAAACTAATAGCATACTTTCGCGTGATCCGTAAATTTAACAAACTTCTTGATACTGACAGGAGAGGACCCAGTAGAAATTGGATCGTCAGCACAGGGGCTAAGTGGGTGTCTTTATGTGCCGATCTTTATGAAGTACCGTATTTTCCACACTATAGACTGCACTGGATTATAAGACTCATTGTCAATGAATGGTTTGTTTTCGGACTTTTTTTATTTAAAGCGTACCGAACTATGAGGCGCATTAGGGGAAACAAAACAGTCAGATAAGTCAGCCAGTCAAATTTGAACGAATTCACAAAGATTCTCAACATTCTTCAAAAGATAATGAGCGTATTCACAATAACGCAGAAAATAGTCAGTTCTTCTTCATAATCTTTTGGCAGTCGCTGCGAGACAGTAGTTCGTGTGCGGATGGAGAAATTACGTCCTCTCATAAAACGAAAGCATCAAGCAGGACCACCCCGAAAGTCATTAATCTTCATGTCCCATGCTAATGTTACCTTCATTCGAATAGACACTTAGAGACGCTTCTACCTGCTACTCTCTCTTCAATTTTCTCCTCTAACTGTGGCCACCTCGCTTTGTTCCCTCTGAAACTCTGCTTGGTCTTCTTTACCTAGCACGGGTCATTTTGCTTCCTCCACTTCCGTACCATTGATTCATTAATGTGGAATTCTTTCGCAGCTGCTATTTTCCTATGTTCTACTGCGTGACTGGTAGCCTTGAGGTTGAAGTTCTCGTCGTAAGTGGGTGTCTTGACAGGTGCCATTTTGGTGTCCATGCACACTGTAATGTTATGGTGAAGCACTGCATATATTACTCCGTGACGCTTCTGACTCCGAATTAACGCAGCATCGTGTACCACATAGAATCGCTTCGAGGTCACTAACCGGAAATAATCGATATATAAGTCGCATCGTCTATTTTTTGAGTGCGCCTCATAGTCCAGCAAATAAGGTAGGTAATCAACAGGAAGCGAGCTGGTCTGTTAGCCTAATTGTGGATATTTTGGGTCCGCCCACAGGGTCTGGCTAGTGGACAGGTCTTCGGTGATGGCTGGCTGTAAAACACGCAGGCTGTTGGATCTGGTGAATAAATATTCGCGCAAGATGGACTGGAGGCCAAAAGCTTTTTGGGTTGCTTTAGTTTATAACCTAAAAGTCGCATTCACTGGAGATTTTAGTGTGTTGTCCCTTGACTAGGAAGGTGTTATAGTCTTTCGACCAAACCCCCTGCTTTCTTTTACTACGTAGAACTTTCTTAACAAAGTTGCAGCTGTGTCTAGAAGTTTCCGCGTTTAGCAAATGTCATTGTTTTGCGAATATTCCCATGTGAGGCTTGAACAGTCAGTTTGCAAACATGTTTTCGGTAATTTACCATCAGGTTACTAAAATTACATGGAAAGTGCACTCGTGAGATGTAGACGGGGTTTATTTGCCTCTGAGCAGGTGGGCTAGTAACGCACTTTCTTTCCACGTCGTCTGCACAGCGCGTTGAGGAGATTAGGGCAGGGGCGTGGGGGTAGAGTGTGGATACTGTCTGTAGGTCAAACGCGCAGAGTACAGGGGGAGTGGAGAAGCGTGCGATCGCCTGTAGTCGACCAGGGAAGACAGCCTGTCAATAATGCGCTTATTTCGCTACCCTACTAGTAATGTCCTCGACTGGCCGGGGGTGTGGGGGTTAGTCGCAAACTTTCTTCCAACACCGCCTGCATGGCGTGTTGAGGGGGTTAGAGCTGGTTCACGGGGGAGGGTAGCATGTGGGTGTTGTCTGTTGGTCAAATGCATGGCTGTTATCGGGGTGTTGGAGTGGTTTGCGATCTCCGCCTGAAGTCGACCGGGTAAGACAGGCTGTCTGCAACAGTCTTCTGTCAATAAAGGGCTGGATTCGTTAACAGGGCAGCCTCGACTGGTGCTATCATCTCTTCGCGTAGGGTGGGTAATTTGTTAGGGCCTAGGAGGTAATTTGAAGGGATCCTTTGGCGTCGACTTAATGGTTCGCCTCGATTAGGTGTGTGTGAGAATAGAACTTGAGACCGGCCAATTTTCATTTTTACCTAGCTAGACTGGTACGTGATCACGTACCCTCTTTTTCAGACACCTCGTTGACCATTGGGGTGAGATGCATTAGCTGTACATCGTGTACAAAACGTGACCTAGCTCCACGCAACACAGATTTATACACAAATGGGAATGGGCAACTCATCTCATACACGTGAACGTAGCATAGAGGCAACATCAAGATGGAGCCATCGTAGTCTGCTCGAAATAAACACCCAATGGGCTGGCCACGAGATCCGAATTGAATCAAGCCCTTACCCCAGTCAATTGTTCGGGCCGGTCTACCGACTGATACTTTGGGCGGGTAGACCGCCTACATGTGTCATACACGACCTGTCCACCAAAAAAACATCAGGTTCTCATACATAATATATTGGACTACCTGGATCACACACACATGGGTCAGAGACCTGTAGTGGCCACTAGCGGCCACTGTGGGGACCCCTGATCGCTGACTCATCGTGCTGTCACCCACCAAGGTTGCAGTCGCGGTGACTGCCCTTAATACGCGCTCTTGTGTGAACGAGCGCACCCTGTC